AGTGCATACCGCTCGATTGTAAATCTAGAGTATCCCCAGTTAAACAAGTCACTGTTTCAAGCCTGAAGTTAGCGAGATGTACGAAATTTTAAAGACCAATCTCTCGTATTTATTTTACAAGCTTAATTATATCAGTGACACAAAGTACAAGCAGTATATTTGTGGCCCGTCGGCTGCCTGTAGTTCGTCATCGTTTTGTCGAAGACTTGCACCACTACGTGTAGTCCGAACATAAACCAGAAGATAAGATGACGGAGGATTAGGGAAGAACAGTGACCTCGAATTTTGTTTAGAAGCTCCCAAATTTTCGAAAGAAGGTGAACTTTTAATTTTTCTAACCAATCAGAATGTCCATCTATGGACTTTAAATTTAAAAGGTTCTATATCAGAACTAGTATGGGCATCAGAAGAAGTGAACCGTACTCACTTTGAGATCGTCATTTACACCGGATAAAGCTAAAACATTAGCTATAAATGTAAAATCGCCTTTGAAAGTTTTGTGTTTGAACATCTCTGCACGTACACACTATTGTGGTGTAGTTTGCTTGATTAATTAAGATGTACATTTTATCGAACTCATGATTCCACTTAAGATGATGGGCTTTATATTTTACTGTAATTTCTCACGTATTCACCGAATTTCCATGTTTTTTCTAAACTATATATATATTGTTTTAGTTAATGGTTATTTGCTTTGGCTTCCATTCACTCCCTTTTATCGATAATGTTGCTAGAATTGTCTCGAATTGTGTATCCCTGATTGTTAATTGAAATACCATTTCGGAAAATGAAAAATCATATTTTATGTTTCTTAACGGTCTGCGCGTAATCTACCTAGAAGAAATAGAATGACATCCCTATGTTGATAGAAGAATTTATTTGTTACACTCGGTAATTCTCTTATACCCCTTAACAGTTTATCTGATGAAGCTATCGCGAGTTCACTTAATCTGTGAACGAGAAACAAGACTCGGTGACGAAAAACAAGTAAGCTAGCTGTAACGACCGAACTACTAGTATTCAGTTTGAATGCAGGACTGACGAACCAAAAAGTATTCGAATAGGCCAGACTACGATCTTCCGTATAGCACGTCAAGCGTTTTTGAGACACTCCCTCTAAATTATATCAAAACACAAATTCTGTGCTCAATTTATACGGTTCTAATTTAAGAAATAGAACAAATTAAATCAAAAACACAAAATACCTCAAACGGTACAGCCTGTGCTATACAGTCAGAAGTTCCTCTAACGCAAATTAGTGCGCTGAGAATCAACAAATATATTCCCAACAAACGGGATCAAATATCTATCTGCAGAGATTCCAGAAATCCTCCCAAGCAGACAGTCAAAGGGTTAACAGTCACACTTATTCACGCCGTGATTTTGAGCTTAGTCCAACACGACCTCACTGTCAATAGTCCGGCAACATGCAATAAAAATTAAGTAACAAAAAGATAAGTCTTTAATCAAAACCATATGATAAAAGCTCAAACGAGGTCTGAACAAAGGTTAAAATATATAACAGGGAGAAGAAACAAATAAATGAAAATACTGTCCAACAAAAAACGGCTGTGGAGGGATTTTCATCGTTCTGTTTCCGTTACACTACCTATTGATGCGTCCCAGCCCCGCTAGCTAGAGGGAAAAGTCCAAGATCGGAATAAAAAGTATATTCTGCAAAACAGCCAGAAAACGAGTGACCACGCCTGCATTACTAAACCATGCCGTCGAATTATATTGAATGAATGTTCCCGCGTTCTCCTTTGTTGAATACAAACCTTTTCAATGATTATACTTTCGGCTTCAAAGGTCCTGTGGTTAGACTCCAATGCTACCACATAACCATCCATATGTCCACATAATTTTTAATGATATTATTGTGTTGCGTTAAGAGGTGTGGCCGGGAAACTACACAGCAACAATATGTACAATTTGGTAGGTGCGTCCTCTGAATTTCGACAATTTGTATGACAATGGAATTAACGGAAAATAGATGACATGCTATCCAATAAGTAAAGTTAGCGGCACTTCAAGTCTCCATCATCTGGGAATATATGTAGTGTGAGATCACTGTCTCGATGTGTACGTCTACTGCTATCACTGATTATCAAAAAATAATTTTTGCTTGGTGAAACGTTAGCTACCTACCTTGTAAAATGGGAAGGAAACCCAATAATTTCCTCCGAGATCCCGAAGCATATGACGTCAATTATGTACTTGACTTGTCTACCCAAGGTTTGTGTGACGGATATGTAAAGGAAAGTACAATTAGCCGTGATTGTAACAGATGCTGGGAACAAGTTATTTACCTTGCTGATAACTTCTAGGAAAATTATTGAGAGGGCATGTACTTTCCGCCAAAAATGAATGACATAAGAACATGATTTCAAAGGAAGGGCGTAGTTATTATGAATATTTCAGGTTGTTGTGTGGCGAAACAGTTTTCAAAAAGAACGGACTTATTAGGGATGGTACAATGGTATAATTATTTCTCTCTGAGAAATCCGATTATCTTCGATATGCAGATAAAATTTAAATAGATAAGCGTTCTACTGCAAGTCTAACCTGACCCCTAGACATCGTAGAATTTATAAGGGTCATCCATTATTGATTTTTACGAGGACGTTTTGCATTGAATGAGGGATTGGAGGTTCGGCTTATCAGTTTTCGCATAAGTATGTGCTTACATACTCATTGGTGCATCCATTCTACACAGAAACACTTCATCCTTCTTCTTTATAAACAGTGCTTATATCATCTGTCTTTACAAATATAATGTCCATATCATCTAATTCTTTTACAGTATTGTGCATCACGGTCTATGAGTTCTGAAATTGAACAATTACATAGTGGTTTTGAGTATTTTAATGACTGTTTTATCTGTCGTTTAGCTGGCAATGCCTCTTGGAAGGTGTCGATTATTGTCATCGTTTTATTCTATTCCAACTATTAAGGGAGACAGTGAGGAAACCAAAATATTCTGGATTTCCTCAAACTTCAAATTTTACACAAGTCTTGAACACAACCATTGTAGCGTTCAGAATTTTCAAAGCTGGTATTCTGTTAAACATATCCAACAATCAATTAGTTACTCGCGAACCAAACAAAAGCCGCGAAAACTCCGCAACAGTGATGTCAGTGTTTAAGCATAGACAGGAATATAAAATACAAGAAATACACAAAATATCAGTTATAAAGCCAAGTTTAGTGCCCAAAAGCCTGATGCAATAACAACAATAGGATAAACCTTTAAAACACATGAAAGCAGTTACTTGCCAATGACTAAGGACTTTCTTGACAAATAATGAACGCAGTCCTGCCATAAATTATAAAAATTTTAGCCTGGTCAGCCGGTTACGTCCAAGCTCAAAGAATGAATGTCGTAGCCTTCAAAGCATATGTAGCTTAGCGACCTAAGATTTACATCTGACTACAATACAAAAAAATGATAGAACTTTGTAAGGCATATATAGATGAATTTAAGGGCACATATATTTCACATTTGTGTACAAGCCAATAAATATTGAAGTCGCTCGCCGTTTTAAGTGAACCAGTTATCCAAATATTAAGCGTTCGCGTGTGTTCAGAGATTCTGGTTTGTTTCATGAAACACTTATGTGGCAGCCACCTAACTTTCAAATACTAAAGTTCGATGCTATCGAGTAACACCTGTATTAGTTATAGTTAGACCAAATTTAGTTTTAGAATGAGCATTTAGACTTAGGACAACATTTACGCAACCGTGCTAAATTTGTCTGGAGTTACAATCGACGACATCCAGTATCACCTAGGATAGTTGAATACCTTGGGTCGGTTGACATCTTCCTTATAGCTCCTCTGTCCTTGCCGTATTGATTGCTTATAACCTTTGTGTGGTATTTGCATGCACTAACGATTCTTTGGACTTGGTAATTTTCCGATTTTGAATCTCAAAATACGTTCATTTGTGCTCATCTAGTTCTACATGCTCTAGATTTCACTATTTCTGGAATTCCCTGTTAGTAAAGTAATTCAAATACCTCTAATCATCACACTTTGACTGTGTAAGCAGACAGAATATAAGAGTGGAGTTGATCACCCTTATTTACTTTGGAAGTTCCAAAGGGAGTATGCCTGTTAGTTCTGCATTCTAAATATTCTGATCATTCATTGTCACTTAATTTGATTCACTAAACACCCTTCCATTCAAGTGACTTCAGGTTACTAAGAAGCATACTACAAATTATAAAATTCATTCGTATGCTCATTCTCATGCATCTTACAAATCTACCCAATTACGTCTAAAACCAGGGGTTAACTAAATCAACAAGAGTCCTAAGAAAGAGTGCCCACTGGAATCATGTATTTTTCGGTGGTCTAATTGTAGAAGAGGCTAAAGAGAACAAGGTATGTAGAGAATTCTGGTGTTTGAATCTCTGCTTGACACAATGATAACAAAGCCTAAAAAATAGAATTTATTTGATTAAAGGATATCAATGTATATTCCGATTGTTGGGCAAGGTATCTAAGCTTATGGTATCCAAGGTGACTAGTTTTCATTAGTAACACTCTAGACGGCGTATCAAGACGTTTTATGTGTGGATATTTGACCAAGTGTCTTTATCCAGTCACACATTACTGGTTATCACCAGTGTCTAAGACTTACCAAACTTTTCCAGAGATAAACATCAGTGACATAGAGGAGTTTTGTGGGTATGAACAAGTTCTAACGTTACTTAGTATCTTAAATGAGTGCATTAGGTTTTACCTCATAGACAAGCTGGAAGTTAGTTTATGCACTTTCCATTCAGTGGAAATCGACACAGATAAGAGCTGACAACTGCCTCAGGTGGCTATCATCAGAGAAGAATTAAATCTTTATGAAGACATTTACCCTGAAAATTGATGTGCTCTGGCTGACTCGCTGTTCTGACGTCCAAAAATGGTAAATTGAGTAAGATCAAAAGGTCATTTGTTTTAATTAACCAGCTTCAAATGTAGTCAATAGCAAACCTCAAGACAGATTTAAATTAAATAAAATCCGACTGAGCAAAGTCATGAAAAACGAATCGTCCAAATTATGCATATGCCAGATATGTAACTGTGGGCAAGTTATGTTTCGATAATGCCATATTACACCTAATATTTTAACGAAATTTCCAAACACTGGTTAAGTCTTTTTTTATCCGTCTTTTCTATGTGTTCGAGATATTAATAATTTACTCATCCAATGTCACTCCGAATTCTGCTTTTGATCAATCGTTAGGCATAAAAGTGTGTGTGTATTAAATGTATAATGTATATAATTGTAGATGTTACGCAACTGTTACGAAACTGTACAGTTTCGGTAGATTGTGATAATTGTCGAAACGTGAGGTAAAATAGTGTATGACTTCTGGTTCTCACTATATTTACGTCGAGAAAACTTTATTTTTTGTCTTTATGTGCCTATTTTTATCTCCAGAGTGACTTATGGTGAAATTTCAAGGTCTTTCAGAAACTTATTTTCAGCACTTTTGTCTCAGAATTCAAGACCTTCTTTTTATGCAAGTCTGCATTGAAACCAATTTTTTCCCAATAATTCAGAACTACGATAATCATTATCATTTTTTATACCACTCAAGGGTCTCTTGTTTATTGCCAAGGTGATACATCCTCGCCGTACCCAAAAATAATTTTCAGCTCTGAATTACAGTGCTATGAGTAAGTAGGAAAACTAAACCTCGAAGCAAACATGTAACTTTGATATTCGACTAATATTTAGATTTGCTATGGTAAAACATGGAGTTGCAAACTATTGAGTTTTTAAAAACAACTCCAACTAACTTTTCATAGCCGCAACAAAACCAACATTCTTATGGTGATATTTTAAATTTAAATAGCGTTTGCTGTGGTCTGTTATGAAAAATATGAATTCAAATGAATCTATTGAAAGTCCTTTATCGTATTCGTAAAGGTATCTTGGAACCAAAGCCTAATATGATCATAGTAAACTAGAATCAGAAAAAACTATCGAACGAAAAGTGATAATGGCATTTAAACTGGTTGTGGAGTAGTCCATAAATGTGTTTATACAGTTGAAAGACATCTACCTTTTTAGAGACCTTTGTACTGATTTTTATATAACAAAACGGGCATGCAGAAAGGAAGGTGATGAGTTTGAGATCCGGTGTAATCATCAAGTCTGTGATACAGGCAATTTCAGATGACAAGTCCCAAATAGAAAGAAACGTGCGTCCTAAATTCTATGGTTAATCTCACACACCCTTACCTCATTACTTATTACTTGATAATTATGCAGAGACAATCCTTATAAAATGCTCACACACCAAAGAAGAGTGATCAAAATTCAGTTTCTGCCATCAACAACAAATAAAAAATAAATATTCTCTCAGCTGATTGGAAGTACTTAAAAAAGCTTTCGACCCACATGTTGTTCTACTTGACAATTAATCAGCAAAACCGATGTGCATTCTTGATTAAACTAGAGCGAAGCGTGAGATTCAAACTCGAGTAAACTAGTGTGGCATACAGAAACATTGTTATCAGGTTAATTGAACTACAACGGTCCTCATTTCAGAATCAGATTTTCATACTAGTCAGTCAGTAGGTACTTTCATGTTGTCTAGACCTAATTACTCCTCAATATTGTACCAATTAGTTAAGTGACTGAACTGAATTTGGTTGATAAAATTTACCTATCGGCAAGAGCTAGACTATATAATAGTGGTTAATACTCACTGATCGACAAATATAACATAAAACCATCAGTCATTAGTTTAGATTAACTTAATTTGGTGGACGCATTAGATAATCATTCGCTGTAAAACTACAATAGTCATTTGTCAAATTTATTGAGAACAAAGGTTAACATTTTACTTGATTGTTTGTATAAATCTACTAAAACTGCAAGGTATTACAAAATAAGTTAGCTGATGGTTGAAAAAATAAATTTCTTTTTTAAAAGCGGGGACATGGTAAAATACTATTACCCTATTGAGTAATACTTCGGTCTAATAAAAGGAATTTTTGTCTTAGATGGCTTCAGGCACTACTTCTAAGTATTCGAAGTCAGTCGATGTTGAAGAATTTTAATATCCCATGATAGCATGTTTATAATTAACATTTAAAAGTATTTATTAAATGAAGAATTGTAAAGATGAGAAATTCAAGTGAGAAAATTAGATGAACTTTTGTCTGATACGATAAAACCCATAAAGAGTTTAGACTTGGTTTTAACTGAATTACTAGGTTTATATGTGCTTGAAATATCTGAGTAGACTTTAGGCTTACTAGTTATGATATAAGTCCGAAAGCAGTGACTGCAACCAGTGTGCAATATAGCGCCCAAAGAATGCAAATAATTTGACAAATTCTAAATGTCAGTAATGTTCTTCACAGTGAAAAGTTTTCTCACTTTTTTCCGATCGACCTGTTTCGTTATTTATGCTGTCTTGAATTATTACTTTTCTTAATAGCTGTGTCAATTCTATTTTTCTCTATTGATTCAAATAGTGCTTTTAAGTAAATACAAGTTCGTTAGAGCAGTAAATTCTAGTGACTTCAAGAATAAATTTGGAATTTTTATGATGCACATCAACCGGTGAACAAGGACTACTAATAACCATGAGAAAACTCAATATTTACAACGTTTTTACATAGGTTGTGTCTTTTCAAAATTGATGATAGGTTTTTTTCGAAATTGGCGTATTTTTTATATAGGAACTGCCCCATTAAAATTCTGTATCAGTTTCTCAACCAGTACTTTGAAGTACAATGAAAGGCTTTTTAAATTATGCTACTCAAGACTCCACAACCTATACCAGAACTCCACGAGGGGTCGGTTAAATGATTTTATGCGACAACGGTCTAGGAGTTAAATATACGGATATTTTGATGTATTTAGACATATGTACGCCACAAACGTCCCAGCTACTTACAACGTCACTGAAGTAGGTGGATGGAATTCCAAAAATTCCAGATGGTTTTCAAAACTATAAGTTATATGTCAATCTACAACCATCAAACACATCGAGATAAATTCAGCTCGCCAATTTATACAGAAAAGGCCTATCGATTACATTTTCAGAGGTCAGTTAAGCAAAATAGTCAATGAAAATGCAAAGACAGTAAATTGATCATAAGGTTATCAAGGAAAATTGAATTAGTGATAGTAGAACGATTTACACAAAATTCACATATATTTGAAGTATACATCCATAATACTGTCCTTAACAATAATGAAGTCTTTGTAATTTTAAGCCTTCCAACTCAGAGGACTCATTGTAACACCAATAAAATAACACACCTTTTCTTATGAATACTAAGGATTTTATGCACAAGTATACTCCAAAATGCTACGCGTTAGATGTGTGATAGTATCAATGTATAAAAGTTTGCTTAGAAAAATCAAAATCCATTTACTCTGTTATAATTGGTTGAGCGGTATAATATAGTCAAGTTTCTAATCAGTTTTATACTTTTGAAGGACAAATTATAATGTTAATTATTTATTATGTTAATCAACGATATAAAACTTAGGTGTTTTCCTATAATTAGTTTATATGGACTCATTGTAATACATTAACGATTGTTTTCCTTAAATATATGGGAAACTATTGTATCGCTGTTTTGTTTACCAAATAAATAGCTGTTTTAAATCCAAAGTACACTGAAACTATTTTATCTCTGTATGTTACTATTGTTTAATGAAATAATCTATTTTTATCAGTGCTATCCGAATTAATAGGTACAAAAAGAAAAATTATCTGTGGAATGAGATATTAATTCTAACATATATACACACCGTGTCTGATGAAAAGTTTTGCAAACATTAGTGATTATTGATTTTACTTTTGATAGTGGTCTTGGCTGCTTGGGAGTGTGGCTGTAAAGCCTGAGGGACATCTGACTGAGGCCGGTCACTCATCGCCTGTATAAAAGTAGTTTTTGATGTGTTAAATCCATACCTTAGCACCTGCAACCGAAAACCGCGGAAATGGTGAGGTTTTTTTATTTCTAGAGCCAATCTTTCTTAACCCCCTCTAAATTCTATATGTCTGGAGGAAACGTCCTACTGCTACTACACTCTACCAAAGTCAAGAATATGACTTCACCATCGCACCTTCAGTTTCTTTTTTTATTATTCTCGCTTTACAACAGACCTGTCTAGCATAGTAAGACCTAAACTAACAATTGTTTCGGCCAATAAAACTCAACTGGGTCATCATAAGAAAAAAGGTCGATCATCGGGTTAGGATAGCAGCCACGGCCTTTTTCGCTTCCAGTGATACCACTACTGTTTGATGATTTCATCCTGCTATCCTCGTGCAGTGGTGAAGCGATATACATATGCATCAGGTTCAGCGTTACCTATGACTACTTAAAGTTTTCAACTTGGAAGATACGTTTCTCATGGCTAAACATCAATTGGAGTACCATCGAAAATCAGTTAACGCTGGACAGCTACTTTAAAATTGCGCTACTTTACATAAACATCTCAATTATTTAGTAGTTTTGTATTCACTAGTGGACTAGTTTGAAATGGATTCCTGAATTTTTTGGGGAGAAGTCAAAACTTATGTATTTTCAATCCCATTAACAGGTGTAAAGCAGTTAATTAATTGTTGTACCATATCGCTGACAAATTGGATTTGGAAATGTTTACCAGCGAATTCCAGTCCAATAGTCTAAATGGTTAAACATCAGCTGGTAGATATGAAATCCCTGGTTTTTATCATCGGTTTGATTATAGTGTGTTCACTCTTGTAAAGAGTCCTATACTGAGATGAAACAGCTTCGTAACCATTTCTGATTTTCATTAATACCCCTCAACTAATATTTGACCGTGAGAAAACCATCTTCACTATACCTATGAAGATTTCCTCAAATAAACTGATCTCTTCCGATAATTTACTCAGTATTTCTTTTGAGATTACCAATCAAATAAATGTGGTGAATTGTCACAATTTATTACGGATTTATAAAATGTGATGGGTTATGTTGAGAAATATTTTTTCCCTTATTGATCTCACTGAGATGTTAAAATTAAGCGGTAAAAAATCTTTCGTGAGATAAATTTAACATGATCAAAATGGTCTACATTGA